ATAGAATCCGGTCGACAATTAATAAAATTTGTCTATTGGTCGCAGATGTATTTATAGAGATATAATGATCATCACCAATTGATATGACAATGAATGCACTTGTGCTATTGTTGATTATTAAAGTTGTTATTGTTGTTACGACTGATCGATGATGATATTTTCTGAGCAATAAAAAGTTAGTTAATTAACGACAAGAAAGGAGAGAGTGACTGCTCCTTCGCCATAGTGCGCTCTTAATATTGTTTTTATGTTTAGCGTGGAGTACGAAAAACTAGCAAAAGGACAAATATGACCTGAAACGGGACGGGTAGCAATGAACGAAGTTGATACGCTGCAGTATGCAATACGTAATAGTTAATGCATTAGGGCAAATAGTGGTCAACTTAATGAATAAAAGAGAAAGTTAATAATTATATTATAGATGAAAGTAATAAAAACGTAATGACACAGAAACAGTCTATAACAATATTAATAGTAATAATCATACTAATAACAGAATGAAATAACGGCTGGTTAAACTATCCATTACGTCAGTGGCTGAGGAGCCACTTAAGCGGCTGTTAATGTCAAAAGGTGAAGGAAATACTCCAATTCTGGTCAGAGCAATTATATATGTGTATAATTTAACGCCAAATTTAGTTTATTTAGAAAGTATATCCACAGGCGACTTGTTCTTATGTAAATGTCTAGCACAGCTCAAAACCAATCAAACTTGTTTAATTGTAAAGGTGTTTTCGTAATTCGATTATGACGTCACGGAAAACGAAGAGGTTTCCGTGTTCGCGGGTCGGAGGGGCTTAGGCCCATTGACGAGTCCATGGGCGATCGATATTAAGCAGGTTCCGCAAGGTATAGCATGTAACCTGAATTCACCATCGAAGTAAAACGTACAAGTGATATGTAGATATGGTAAAATAGATATGTGAAACCGTATGAAGTGATCATAATGAATGTTAGACGAGAGGCAAGAATACACAATGTTCAATAAATAAAGAAATATGTCGATGAATGAAGCAGAAAAAATGTAGAAAACAAGTGACTCTTGATTTATATAGTGATCTGTGATTTGATTTTGATCGACCACACTGCCCAGTTAGGCAACAAATAGAGAAGGCAGGATTGTTGTCTTTTATTATGCGTCTGTAATAATAAATGAGAATGTTTAGACTAGATACCTATCCATAGGGCAAGTACCTTTTACTCAAATGACCCCTATTATTGAGTAGTGACTACCTAGTTTTCAAAACTAATTATTAATTAACAAAGCCACAAATTTTATTAGGCGCCGATTTATTCCGCCAATGGTAGAATTCACAGGTTTTTTTTTTTATTACTTTTTAGCACATTTCTAACGAAAATCTTCTAGTTAATCATACGATCTTCAGTGCAGACAAATAATCTGCTTACTGCATGAATTCAGCTAAGATAAATTTCCCTCAAAATCAATTGAAAACAATTCTATGATAAATTGATTATGTCCGTTTTCAACTAGAAATCACTGCACCGTCTCGGGCTAAATATAGAACCTCTACCGACGCACGTTTATTAGTTCTAATTGAATGAAGTAGAATAAAAGTCTCAAGGACTCTAACCAAACGGGACAGAAGGCAAGATCGTTAGCATCTGCACCAACATTTGAGATCGATCCTTTCGCGTGAATTTGCCACATAAAAGCCGTCGTGTATGACGAATCAGAAAACCATTGTCGCCATTCGCCAGTAAAGCACAACAGTGGTTCAGTTATGAGAAAAGTTATTAGACAAATTTAAAAGGCAGTTTTTGCTTTGTTAAAGTTCATTCATTCATCTCTTCTGCTAACTAGTACTAGAGTACATAGTTTCCTGAAAAAGTAATGCAGATCAACTAAGTAAATACCTGTGTTGATTTAATCTTAATCCAATAAACATAAGGACGAGGAAAATAGCTGGAGTTCGAGATTGAGCGTGGGCAGGACCTCTCGAGGCAACACTTAGCATACCACTCGAAGTACTTACATAGGGCAGATAAAGATCTACCTACCCTGGAGCATGCTTGCAGTACTCTTTAAGTTTAAACTTCTTAAGTACGGGATGGTACTATTTGACTTACTAACTGTAAGTTTTCTTTCATCACTTTGCTTGTCTAAACAAAAAGGAGCGTAACCATTAGTCGAACAGAAAGATCACGACGATCGTATGAATATTTGTATTTTATCGAATAGCATTCATTTGGAGTCTTTTAGTTAAGGAGGTAAGTTGACAGACCCTATGCTTGCAGCAAACGTCTGGTCGAAAACCATCTTTGTCAAAATGCTTACGGCAATGCGATTTTAGATTCGCCAGTTCGCACAAGTATGTCAAATAAAAAGGCCAAGTTTATGCATATTATAGAAAATCAAGGTTTTTCCACCAGACACCAGCAGACTTAATGAAAGTCCATTACTACTCTTTGCCAATATGTATTATCACTTTCAGTTTCCGTAAACTTGATATTTCACCTTGCATAATATAGCATTGGAATTAGATCTAATTATCAGGTTCTAACCCCCTTAGATACTGCCATGGGTGGTCCTAATATTTGCCCCATGCCCTGTCCTTTCGATGGAAACCCCACTCGCCTGAACTTACGATGAGTCGGCTTATTGCGCGCCTCCTGCTCTTACTTTAGGCACCATTTCGATTCACTAAAGCGTGACGTTACTGTCCTTGATTACAGTGCACACGACAAGCAGATATCGTTTGCGATAAACATAAAGATCTGCAGCAGCAGCGGCGACATCGGTGTCCGATATAAGCAATGTTATCTAGAAAACCATTCGCGTTGCATCATTATTTAGCGGTCGAACTCAGCCGTAGTAATGGCCGAACAAGAATGAAGAAAATTGAGAGGCGTCTCAACTGTCGACTAGCTATCCCAGATAGAGTAGCCTTGCGGTTTTCAAGATGAACGAAATACTGAAGGCCTGGACAAAAGCTGAATAACGAAAAAGACCCCATGTTGCTTGCTAAAGTCCCATATTTTTCTTTGCTATTACCTCCGCCGCTAGCACTGCTTTTATAATACTAATAATCACTATCATCATCATCGTCGTCGTCTCATTCGGCCGCACAGCTGTGTGCGCCGTTGCGGCCGCTTCCATATCGCCGTATCGGGGACAGATGCAGTTCCGTCTGTTTTTCTAGGCAACGGCGGCTGCAGTAGCCCCCGTACCGCAGGACTCTATTGCGCATGGCAGTAAATTTTCCTCAAGTGATTCTTTTACGTCGTATGGATTTTTCTAATGGCAGAAACAACACTAACAAGTAACAATAGGTACAATGAGAGCAATACTACCACCAATAACAACAAAATAGAAACTGCATAAACATCATGGACCGGCATGGAAACGTGAAGACGTCGACGGGAACTAACCGCAGCAGCCGGTGTCACGTCGACCGTTTCCTAACAATGAGAATATGCAGAAGTTAGCCAGCGAATAGCCAAATGCGCGTTTCAAATTTTCTACTGCTTGTGCCACCACAGAGACTGTTACCAGCCGCATATTCTAAAGGAAGCCCAGCTTAACCAGGCGCCGTGGCACGTTGAAACTTTCGCATAGCATGTACAGTTTGGCTAATAATAATCGCGGGCAAACCTTAGGACTAACTCAATTTTGTTTTTGATAGACATTATATACTAATGAAACAAGTGGTCTACGAAACACTTAAATCATACACACGCACGAGAGCGCAATTGCCCGCTAGACGGCTCAGGGAAAAATTATTGCAGCTTACGAATCTGGGGGCATTCCGATCGGATGAAGAAAAGACGGTACAGCGACGGATAGGACGACTCGGGCAAATCCTGGGGCATCTCCTGCGTACGATACACTGCATGAACCGAATGTAAACGAATCGGCCTTTAAAACACAGCAAGCGTTCTTCCGGTACCTTATCATTTGAAAATAAAACACGTAATAGATTGTTTATATTTTGATTTTCAGAAGGATGTGTCAGCGATTTCTATAGTGTTACTACAGATACGCACACAAATGCACAAACTGCGATTTCAATCAGAGATTGCACGGGGCCCGGTTTTGTCACAGGGACGGAAGATGCCATATGGTTGCAGGTTCTGCGCTTGTTTTTTTTATCATTACCTATCACGCGCTATATATATTTTGCTGTCAGTTTTAGACAAAAGCGAAATTTTATGAGGCTATAAAGGTGTACATACGTTTTTATACTTATAACGATGGCCCATTCGTTTAAGTACTGCTAACAGTTCTAGCCGCTATCTAAACAAGATAAGTATAATTTATTTGGGTGATTATTACACTTACAACAATAAGGTAAAGACGCTTTAAGTTAAAATACATATCGTCTTTGGCATTACCATGGAGCGTGTTTGGTGCTATTACCCTATGAGGAATGGAATATATCGAACGCCTACGTAGTTACAGTGTTACTTGAAAATCAACAATGGATTGGCACGTTCACATTTTGATTTAGGATGGGTCTCGTTTTCTATGGAATAACACTATATAGTAGCGTTCCAGCCGTTACATAAAGACAACTTTCTCAAGATGACTGCTCATCGTCGGGACAAAGTTTCTAGTGTTGGCGGCCTCCTGCCCGATTAGGTTTACCACGTATCGTTCTGTAGTTGCGATAGATCTAACGCGCAAAACTTCGAAATACCTACCTATAGTCGTGCGTTTGAAACACACCAAAGTGTACTCCGACACCATTTGCCATACAATTTTTCCAGCATATTTTCTGTTGAACTTTATTTTGCCAACTTAACTGGTCCTCTTTCTCGTAATGTTGGTCCATTGGTGTAGTTTACTGCAAAGATCTAAAGCTCCCACACCTAAGGCAGTGCAATTTGTCGACACCGAATGAAGGCTCGATATCTAAATCATCGCTGTTACAAGGAGTCCTATGGAATTACTCATCGAATTGACTACGTACCGGAAACCTGCTGAAGCCTTTGATGGTGAAAACGTTTGGCCATTGTATCGTACGAAGTCAAACCAATACAATCAGCTGTTCTGCGGACCTTAATAACGTTGTCAGGTGAAACCTGTGGGACGTTGTCACTTCTCCGAATTTTGCTTCAATGAATGAATAAAGCAAAAGTGTTACGACATTGCGTTTCAACTTGTCCAGTTTTTTTTTTATCTAAGCCGACCGTGTAAAAACACCACCTCTAAGTGACAATTCGACTATATGTAGAACGTGCTTAATGATACATTCGTGTAGAGTAAATAAAAAAAAAGACATGGTTATTGCGTGATTAACTTTTACGGTAAATTAACTTGACATATTCCTGCAACACTGAATTCGTTCTATTTTTTCTTTTCTACATTTTGTGAAGTTGTATATTGCAGTGTATTCAGATTTGTCGATGGGTTTTCGACGCGCCCTATCGCCTTATCGAAAAAGAAAGTTAATAGATAGAAACACAGGAAAAACAGCTTCTGGAATTTAGAAATTGACTTCTAAAATAGCGATACAAAAAAATATGATGAAACGTAAAAAAATTCTAAACGTCCATACTTTGTGGACGATGAATCAGACATTCAAATAGTGGTATTTTTATCATTTTAGCACATGGAATGTACACCAGATGCTATACATAACGCTCTCCGGACAAAAAAAAAACACTTTAACCATAGAAAGGTCGCCTTCCGTTTGTTTGCGACTGAAGACTGGTTATTACCCCGCAGAGCAAACAGGATTACGTAACCGAATATTTGACTAGGGCAACTTTTTCTACATAATAATTATTTTTTTAAATAATTTTTTACGTTCTACGCTTTGATGTTGACGTCTTTATCAGTAAACTTCCGATATTAACTAATAAGGTTGCTATTTACAATTTTTCGACGTGATCTTACAACGATTAGGTGAGCGATCTTACCCGTGACTGGATCTCACCTGGAGATCGCTGAAGCAAAAAATCGTTAATTAAATCAAGCTTTAGCGAGTATAATTTGAATTTGCCGCTTCTAGCTGCTAACAGCTGGTCTACACTAGAAATGTTTTGATCTTATTTCTATTTGCCAACCGAAATATTTCAGAGAATAGCAAATAAAAAGATAACAAGAATAGTTTTTTTTTTTTTTTTTTTTTTTTCTACTAATAAACTGTATGACGTGTTTACATTTGCGATAATGAGGTGACCTTCTTCTGGATTATGAATATAACCTGTCACAGAAATTTCGTTAGAATATACGAATCCAAGGAAAAATGATATCATCGTGAGCGCACTAAATGCCATGCGTAGCCTGGCTTACTGAGAATGTTGTTGCTATTAATCAATGCGACAAAGTTCTAGCGATTATTGCAGGATACAATCAATTATCGTTGTAAATGTTTATGTTAGTGAAAATAAATCGTCTACAAACATATCAATAATAATAACAACAGAAATCGTTACGATGTGCACAAACATGCTGCACCTATAATAGTATTCCTATTACTTGTTATCGGGGCCGTCTCGATGCCTTATCGGTAAACGCGAGTAATGCATGTTTTTTGCCTGTGGTCAGTATCAAAGTCACAATCTGCTATATCTATGGGTTTGCTTCGCATGCTTCTGTGTATGACTACCACCGGCATTAGCCATTCGTACGAAAACACTCATAGTAGTGCTCTAGTTCCTACGGGATAACACTGTATGGATGCCAACGTCGTACATGTACATCGTTCCCCTTTTCGTCATACGAAGTGCACATGCGTTTCGAAGTCTAGTTCTAAGCATACAGGCAGTCTCGTAGCGAGCGTAGTGTTTTCTGTTAGATATCAATTTGGCGCACCTTTCCCCTGGTTAGCGTAGTGAATAGACACAGGAACGTCTCAGATCCATTTGCTAACGATGCCGAAAGCGCCGCCAGTGTTTCGAGAGCCCCAATCGTGGGTCTTTCGAGGGATTGATTTTTTTTTTTGCCAATAACAGCTGCTGCTATGTATTTTTGCCCCGTTTATACCGAGTGCTTATGTAATCAGAGAAGTAATAACTTTACATAACAATAACGCTAAACAGCGGAAGATAGATAGCGTCCAAACACCGGCTGGTACCGCGTCGATCTTGTGCTTCATACAAGGAAAACAAACGGATTAGCTGTAGAATAGTAATTAATTTGATTAAAGCCCACAGCTGCAATTATGTTGCGGAATCGAACATCGAAAAAACATTGGTACAATGTTTTCATAGCATATATTTGGTAGCACAAGAAGTACACATTTTTTTTCTTAAGCCAATGACATTCTTTTTTCAAATAGCGGAACAGAAGGAAATCTAACAAATGAAAACAAACGCGAAGTGCTAACTCAAGCCGACGAGGCTCTATAAGCTTCCTATAAGCGACCTTCCATACGTCTTCGAAGACGCAAATATTTTTGAATCATTCGAAAGTAACTATTCAGACGCGTTTCTAAGAAGATCAAACACGATGCTCACCTTGGGTCCGCTCTACGGGATGAACACTAAGTCTGTGTTTAAGGCTCGCACGGCCAATAACACGGCCTAACGTATTTCGATTTTTCCTTCCGGGAAATCTTTGATATTGAACACGGCGGTAGTAATTGGCAGCTTTGGTTGGTTCGTACTTTCAACAAGTACATTATTTTGGATAGTTTTTACCCAATCGCTTAGACACGTCCGAGTACGAGTATGACACGCCGCCACCAGGGAAATCGTTCAACGACCCAGACCTATTTGTGCAAAAACGTTCTCACCTGGAAAAAGTTGCCAACCTGTAGTGTGATGAGGCCCACTTTCACGGACAAGCTATAGAAAATTCTAGTGCATACCAAATGATGAAACGCTTTCAAATCTAGATGCAAAATATTTACTGAAAAGTATACTTAATCTAAAAAAATATATTGAACTCATAGAAATCACCTTATTAGTTGTTGATAACGTCGTTTCAAATAAAGTTAATCTAACTATTTTAACGATGTCAACATTAATTGAACAATATGGGCTGAACATTTCAGCCATACATAGATTATATAATATTTTTGAGTTTTCTCATATGGCTACCACTGCCCGAAATGAAGGATCAGTTATTCTACTCTTTGAATTACGCGTAACAACTACTAAAATCCCCCTTTTCTAAATAGAAAATACTATAAATTTACTGAGATCTTGCGTTGCTTTTTTGAGCTTATCTTGTTAAGCCAAGCATAATATATATTTGGTCGTAAAAGCGGCAGGTAGCATGAATATGAAGCCATGACTATAGGCGTGCGTTCCTTCAATGTTTTTTTGTCAAGTTTGATAACCAAATTAATTCCAGCATATAAAATCTTCAGTCGTCGGTTACGTACCAGCGCATCTAAAAATCTGCAGGCTTCGCCATACAGAAAGAAAGCTGCAAAGATATAAATTAAATTTTTGTCTACCATAGTCATACCTAGCATAAACAAATATAGCGGACGTAACCGACTTCATTAATGCGCCGATTTCTATTTGTTTTACGTTTTGATTTCCTAGTGACATTTAGGCCTGATCTCCTATGTTGTGTCATGGGCCGGTTTGCTTGCAATCCTTCTTGATAATCTTTACAATGATTGCTCTAGCAGGCAGTCTAGAGTGAAATCTGTATCAATTCCTTTAAAAAAGTGCGGGCTTCGAAGTTACCTTGCAACATCTGAAATAATAAAATTTACTTTTGTTGTTCACGAAAATTGTGTAGTATTTTTGTATCGTCGGATGGCACTCGGCGTAGTGACATCGTTTAAAAAAAAAAAGATCAGCGCTAGAACAAGTAGAAATTCATCATATTGAGCGTATATCTGAAACAGCTTAAATGTTCTTTGTAGCCTCCGACGTTTTTCCCGCTGTTCATATTCAAATCAGATTTAAAATTTTTCGTGCATTAGGCGTTGTTTCAGAATAAAAATGCCCAACCTCCGACCAAAATATGACCACGGCCAAATTGATTTATTTAAGCCACCACGTATTTCTAAGTTTGGACGAAATATATTATAGCTGCACTGAATCTATTACTACTATCCGACATTATGACCATATAAAAAAAAGTGAAATGGCACCGGCATTTCTATGTAGATATCCGTTTTCACTGTGTATTGTTGCCAATCTCCGAACACGTGTAGCTATTACAAAATTATATCAATAATAACCACTGAAGCAGTACAAATAGACGGAATAATACGTTCCATTTTGTTACGCATAAAACGTGTGCAAAAATAGAGCATTACCCTATTCACACGGGTTTCATGTCGTTGGCCATTCTAAATAATACCATTACTATTGAATAGCTATATATATATATGCACTAGTTAGCAATGTACACAATATAAACAAGAGCAAAGTAGCCCTTCGACGCTTTTGCCCGCTGCTGTCATATCATTTGAGTTTCTGGTGATTCGTTTCCTCCTTTAAAGCTGGATCCTGCTGATGCTGCTGCTGCTTCTGCAATTGCCGTCGCTACAACTATTTTTTTCTGTTTGCCGCTATGATCTTCTACAGGCGCTCAGGGGTTTGGTCGTCTATTTGTTTCGTTTGCCCTACGAAGGCTGCCCCTCGCTGGTTATCATTGAAAAGCTATTGACGGATAGCTTCGCATGGCGACTGGCTGGGGTAGACGGTGCTGCGACTAAACTACGGTGTGGCTGACGAGGTCGTATTCTGGCGGTGCATTTGGCTCGGCAACGGTAATTATGGTGACTTGTGGAAGGCGTTGGGTGACATGTAGACAGCAGTCTGTGATAGCTAACGCTCTCAACTCCGTGCGCAGTTGCTTGAAAGAGCCATTCATGGCGGACTTAAACGGACCTGGGGTTAAATGGAAAATGGGGAAGAAGCTTTGCTGCTACTGCGTCGGCACTGGAGCCCAGGGCCGCCCCGGCTGCTACTGTCGTACCAGCAATTGAGTGACTCACAAAATGAAGTGTCGCATGTGACACGGTGATGGTGAAGTACTGCGATGTTTTTATCACGGTGCCTGTGCACTTGATACTTGTCAATCCTATATCGCTTGATCGCTATTAGTATCGAGCCACACATGGTAATGTCAAATGTAGTTTATCAATATTGCCGACGGTCAATGCTTCCCATTTCACTCCCTACTACATTTTGGTCGGATTTTTACTGCCACTGTTGTTTTTTTTATTTGGTCATAACCGTGAAGCAAGCAGCGATTGTCGTAAACGATCGTAGTTTTCTCTTAACTACC